TTCACCCTCTCCAAAAACCCAAACCCCCCCCCCCCCCCCACTAGCACATCATCACATGGTTTTGGAGTTGCTCATTGACAAATCCGTTTTGATTTGTGCGTGACATGATTTACAACAAAGTGTGTCAGTCTTTTGATGATGGTACAAAGACATCAGCTACAATATCACTCAACCAGCAGGCGATTAACTGACCACAACAGCTTAGCTGGGTTAAAACAATAAAGACAGCCTGTACAGATAGTCTTATACAAAATAAACTGTATACATTATATTATTTGTGGAGTTAATAATAATAATAATAATAACAAATTAGCAGTAGTAGTAGTAGTGTAAATATTAACTAAAATAAAGTATACAAAAACCTAAACTTATTTTATTTCAGATTAACTCAATGCCAACTCAATCTGCCATGTACATGTCTTTCTGTCCCTCTTCAGAAGGTCAGACTAGACACACACACACACACACACACACACACACACACACACACACACACAGCCCACAGCTAAATCTGTTCTTGGATGTTGGAGATGTTCAGCTACACCACAGCAGCCAGATGACGAGAATACACCATAGATTATTATTATAAACAAAAAGGTCCCCTTTAATTTGAAGAAAAATTAGCAATAACTTATGCAGAGTAACAGATAAAACATATTTACAAAGTGTTTAAAGCTAAATGGGTCTTTTTCCATTGTTCATTAGGAGGACTGAACAGTTGTTGACAAAGTGGCCATTTAAAAACACTTCAAAACTGTGCAGATGTTTTTGCAAACTCAGCCCTCATTTGTTTAGTAATAGCCACTGATTAGAGCAGTTTCCATGACTAATGTAATGATCTGTGATCCTCAGAAATATGAGCCAATCCGTTCCTAACGAGTCAGTGAGCACTAAGGAACAGCTGAATAGGACATTGTTCACTGACACTTCAAACTTGCAGTCTGGTCGTGAACAATCAGGTGTTTGGAGGGTGTTGACCCATAGATTGGTGTTGTTCCTTTTTACCTGCAGTTCTGTTTGCTCATGTGTGATAAGTGACAAAAGAACAGCTCTGTGTTTGATGACATTCTTCTTAGTCACACTATTAAAAATTACACACACATTGTTATTGCTTTTAGATAAAAGTCTCTGAAAAGTATAGTGCATAAAATCCTTTAACCTTCCCATTGTCCTTCTAAACATCATGAATTCTTACACTAAAACAGGTCCCAAAGTTTATATTCTATACTATATATTTTTTATATATATATAATTGGAGTAATATACTTTAAATAAGAGTATATTACATATTTTCAAATAATGTGTTTTTGTGGTGTATTCATGATGTTTGTATAGATGTTCTTCACAGTGTCAATCTATAGCATATTCTTTACCAATAATGGGTCAAAAATGACTGAAAGACCATGAAAGTGCTTATGATTTTATTTAATCAACAAGATGACATAGATTAAATATCATTCAAAGAACTGTGGATGTCAGTAGTTCATTTATCATTTTTATTTCATTGAAATTATTCCATTTAATGTATAGTACATGATGTACAGATTTAGAGTTGTTTGTTGTCTGAACATTTGGCATGCTTTTCTTTCTAATGAGACCTCCCTACCATTTCTAAGTGCGCATCGTGTCAGGTTTCTTTGGAAACCAATTGCTGTTCAGCATCATCCCCATAGTAACCTACCCACACATGCTGTCGAGTTCCTACCCACACAGCCTAGCATGTGTGGATGATGTTATTATTCCACTGGCTGAATGTTTCACCAAGTACCTTTAGTCATGAGTGCTTGCCACAAGTGTTTTATAGTATGTGATTTTCTCTGATTTAGTTTGCAGTGCAAGTAATTAAAGCAAATTAAATGTTCCCTTTCAGGACAGCAGAGAGTCTCTGTGAGCAGTCTGTTAGTGTGTCACGGACTGCTGTTGGTGGGGACCAATCTCGGGGTCACAGTGGCCCTGTCCGTGCCCAGACTGCAGGGCATCCCAAAAGTCACAGGTGGGCATAATCCATTGTCATGTGTGGGTCATAAAAATCCAGAAAAACCGTTTTTGATGCATATTACTGTGGAATTGTGCTAACAGCAGAGGTTTGTTTGCTGCCCAGTGCCCTGTGGGTAATTTTAAGTCTGTAGCACTTTCAAATACTACAACTCAGCACAAGTTAAGGAACAAACCACACCCAACAATGAAAAAACCCATCATTTTTCCAGACAGTTAATGAGCACTGTTAACTAAAACTCAAAAAAATAAAGCTGATGAAATAAAATATAAATATTAGATGAAAAAATTTAATTATAAAAAAACCTTGAAATTGAAATTAAAAATATTGCCTTGTAACTAAAAAAAAAATTTAAGTACTACAATGAAATAAATGTAAATAGAAATATTAAAAAAGAAAATATAAACTTAAATGCTAATTTAAAAAATATTAATAAATATATAAACTTGTATATAAATAATGCTAAAATAACATTTTTAATGACATCTGTTTTTGTATTTGATATTTACATTTGAGAAATAGTTTTTTAGAACTAAAATTGTTATATTTTGTTTTGATGAGAAATATTTTACTTCCTTTATATATCTCATTATTGTGTATTTTATCTATTTTTATTTTGTTTTATACTGCTTGAGCAAACTTTTTAACGTCTTTGTCATTCTTCTTCCTCGTTGTCTCGCTCCAGGTCGAGGAATGGTCTCTTTTCACGCTCACCATGGCCCAGTCAAGTTCCTCACCATGGCAACAGCAGTGTGTAATGTCTCCCAAGCATCCATGGCAACTCTCACCTCCAACACACCCAGCCAGTGCCAGCCTGGGGCCCATGGGGTGGAGGGAACCCAACTGGATGAGAACTGCTCTGGGCTGGGGCGCAGCAGTACCAGCTCTCCCTCACATGCTCCTGTTCTCCAGGATTCCCTGTCCTCCTCATGTGGCTCTCTGGCTCCGTCTCAGGGCTCTTTAGAGCACGGCCCAGAGGACGGGGCAATATACGACCTGCTGAATGAGCCGGCACACTTCCAGAAGGCCAAGCAGACTGAGAGAGTGAATGTGAGCTCATTGTTGGTGGTGTCTGGAGGACTGGGACATCGCAGAATCAACAGAAAAACAAAACAGTCTAAGCATGAGGAGATGGTGTCCACCATTATGGTGTGGCAAATACCACTGCCCAGCCTGTGAGGGACAAAATGGAGGTATTCAGAGAACGGTGAGGATCAGGTTTTAGTTTGGATGCAGCTGCACAACCACCAGTGTCTATCACTCTTTTGTTTCTTTTACTCATCTAATGATGCTTTTACTGTATGTCTTCATTATAGGCCATTGCACGTCAGAGAGAGCAGTTGCTTAGACTGACCCTGCATTCAGTCATGGGCTGACAGGGAAAAAAGATTAATGAATGAAGGGAAAAAATAATGTGTTCCAGGAATGAGCTGAACTACCAAGTACTCGGTCATGCATCAGAGAAATGTATTTTACCACTCGACACATTCGCCTAAATTAAAAAGTGCATTTGTGAAAATGTCAGTACTACTTCAGTGTGATAATATTCAGGTCTAATTGTGGAAATATAACATTTTTAACTGCTAGGTAATTACATTTCACACAAAAAAAAGAAAAGAAAAGAAACGGAACATATCTAGCCTACTAGCAAACAGCAGAACTCTTTCTATCATTTGTCACATTTTAAACATGTTTACCTGCATCTGTTCAGCTCTTCATTTAATTTCAGTAGTTTTTCTTTAAAGGACATCTCAAAATGTTTGGTTCAAGGAATTGTTGTTCTTGTAAAAGAAGTGCTAAAACAATTGTTGAATCCGGTCTTATCTGAGGTTTATGGCCTTTAGATTGGCCTCTGTGAATGGCTACATCCTGTGACTGAATGGCTTGTATGAGATTCTCTGGCGGGCCAGAGACTCTGTTTGGGTCCTAAAGTGAAGTTGGTGTCCAGTGATGTCCAAAAAAAATGGCATTCCTCCATAATTCTAATTTAAAGTTGATGCTTATCAATATTTAAAGGTATGGAAAAAGCTTTATATTGACACATTGTGATATGTATTTCTGACTTGTATTAACAAATATATACCATTGTTTTAACCAGCGTTCTTTGTATATCTGTGCAAGTGTAATAGATAACCATGTGTGATTTTGTTTGCTTTGTTTTTCAACTGGCGCTTTTTATTTTCTGTCCCTTTTTAGTTTATTTTTCCTTTTGATGGACTATTACTGCCGGCTCATATATAAGGGAATGACCCTAGAAGAAAATTGAATTTGAGGCTGAGCAGAGGTTGAATGGGTTTCTGTGAAATGCACTTTACCAACAGCAACACTGATTTTAGAGCTTACAGTAAAATTGACCTGGGCATGGAAGGAAGGAAAGAAACTTAATTAAAAAAATGAAAATGTAGAGTTGTTGTTGTTGTTTCCAGTGTGATGCATTTCAGAGAAATTTGTCTTGAAATATTCAATTTTGCAAGGTAACTGCCTAAAAGGGAAATAAAAAGGGTAATATTTATCCCTTAACTGTGATGGTTGAGAATCATTGGATGTTTTGATATTCTCACTTGGATCTACACACTGATTGAGAATATTAATATTTTTATAAATGCAGATGATATTTAAGCATATTTTTTTGCACATCAAGACAACCATAGAATCAAAAACTATGAACCCCTAAAATAATCCTTTTGTAAAATGCCAAGTAAATAGTTCTTGTAAATATTGTATTTAGAGTTTTTGAGATAGATAAAAATAGCTGATATCTCAGTGTTTGTAAAAAATCTTCGGTTTTGATCTGATATCTGTTTGTCATAATAAAGAGTGGAGAGATTTAGTTGTTCTGCAGGAGGCCTCCCACACTAATATATGCAATGCTTTCAGCCTTTGTGGGCTCAGGGATCTTTGTGAGTCCCCTCAGACTGAGAACAGTACAATATGTGTGTATTTAGAGGGCTAATAGTGACATCTCAGTCTGACCATGTGCTGACAGACAGTCTCAACTCTGATGTGTTTCTCTCTGAAATGGAGTGGTTACCCTAGTAACTCTCTTGAAGAGCGGTGTAGCCCATAATATCAGGATGGAGAGTAATGGTCTTCTTTAATGTGCTCATAAAACTTCACCACATTTGAGAAGGCCAGATAAAGTCGTGCTGCTTTTTGACCATTTCTCAAGCTTTGCTTTTTTCTCTTTTGAGTAAAACCTGACATTTGAGAGCTTTTTACATAGTAGACATGTATATAGACATGCATTTTTCGTTTAATGTAGTGTTTTGCCAAGAATATCAAATATATATACTGTTTTTCACGGATTCAGCCAGTTTACTGTGCTTTAGAAAATCACTATCATCTTTTATTACTGTATAATAAGATGATTTAACACGACATTTAGTATTTGCAAGCAATAAACGTTACAATGCTCTGCGCTTGGGAGTCCCCCTTGAGCGTTGCGCAACATCCTTCATTTGGCCACGCGTCTCGCGTCGAGTGTGCGGGAACGTCGCGCTAACCGTGGATTTGATCAGCAGTTCTGATGTGTAGAGGGTGAGCACAAACGGGGGTGTGGTTTTAGATCAGCCTACAATAAAATAAAAAATACTGCAAAGCACTCCGAGGGCAGAGAGGCGGTGTCGATCAGATCCGGAGCACAGGGTCGCTTCTGTGGAATATATCTCGTTTTATTCGCTTAATTGAGATAATGATATTTTGTGGACGCCGATTCTCCAGTCGAGGCTTGCAGACGCATACAGTTGGTCGAGGATGAGGAGAAGGAAGAGAAGTTCTCATTGAACTGCCGTTTTATTACAGTATGGGATAGATGGTACATTTCTGTGAATGGTTAAGTGGTCTGAATTTGGAAAAACTCAACCCTCGATAGACCAATGTGTAGCTTCCCTGCAGCGCGGTGTATTTAGATCTAACGTACAGTCACTGACTTACATAAGATTGCTCTGTGTAAGGAATTGCGCAAAGAAACCCCGCCGTTTAACGCGTAAGTACTGGGTCTATTGAATCATTTCGAATCTATTTAATATTATTCTTTTAAAGACTACTTTGTCTGAAAATGCCTCATCTTTTCCCCAGTCTTATCAATAATATCTCTCTGTCTTCCGTCCGCTGTACATATGTTTTTTTTTAGGTCTATTAGAATGGGTAATTGAACAACTATAGTGACAGAACATTAACTAAAGGTGTAAATGAATCTTACTGTTTCGCGTTCTCTTTAAGATTTAATCCATAAAGCTCAGTAGGTTTGCGAGTAGTGCGCATGCGCATTAGAGTGTTTTAAATGGAGCATTTCAGTGCTGATCAGGCAGGGTGAAGCTCATGATCTATACGGTCACTGCAGCAGACATATTACTTGCTTTATTGAAATGAATAAATTAGAGTTTTTTCCCCCCAAAAAGAGCACCACTTTATAAGCTATTAGTTCACGTCAGAAGGTGTTTTAATTTAATTTTTAACATTACATTTCTAATCATTAGGATTACATGAGATTATTTGAGGAATATGAATTTGGGTAATACAATTATGATTATTTGAATGAATAACATTGTCTTCTTTTCTCAGAAGGTTTGGACCCAGAGCTGAGACCACAAAGGACAAAGGATCTTCTTTTGATATAGGAAATGTGTGTTTATTTTGATGAAATGTACATTGATGGAACGAACAGCAAACATGTCCAGCTAGGACACTCCTAGCAATGTTGACTGAAAGATCATTACCCCAATAATTAGGATCTGCCAGTCATTCCTGAGGCCCGCTGGGATTAATTTAACTCTACTGTTGGGAAAAGGAGAAACTTCAGAGTTGTTTTTATTGCTCTGAAAGCACTAAATGAGTGACATTAGGTGTATTGCAACTACAGAAAGATGAACAACACTCTGCAAGACAGAAACATGTTTACAGTACAAGCAGACGTTATATTTCACGCAGCAAACCCTGACTCTCCAGAATCACCTATCCCAGCTGAAGGGAACAACAACAATGTCGCAGCTATGGGGAAAACAGGCATCCCCAGCATGGAAATACTGCAGGGTCTCCCAGGTACATGGGATACATCAGAATCAGGAGGTTTAACTGACAATAGGATTTTGGGAAACTATGGTGCTGTAACAGGTGCAGAATACGCACAAGATGCTGTCTCTAGTGACAGTGGATTTCAAGAGCACATACAGCCTCTGGACTCATCTAGAGCACAAAATCTGGACCTTAGTTTGAGAAATATAAGTGAAGCTTCAAGTCAAGGAAATATTAGAGAAGAAACGAATGGAACAAAGGTAGCTTCCAGTTTGGCACCCTCTCTGTGCTTCAGACCAGAGAACAAGGAGGAAATTGACAAATTATCCAATGTCCTAAGAGATGGTGAGGTGGTTCAGAGTCAGTTTGATATTAAAAACGTCTCCTCCACATCAGAGGACAAAAATAATTCCTATTCAAGCTCTCAAAAATCGAGGTCACTTGAAAAAACCCTGGGATGCTTTATAAGTTCCTCTGAAGGAGCAGATCAGACCCGCTACAGAACATCATTTGGACAGACTGGGCAGGAATCGAGCCAAGGGCTAAAGCAAAATGGATCCGCAGTAAGAGAAGCTCTATCTGCAAAAGAAGAGCCGAATTTAGTCATAGAGGTGGGCGGACAGAAAATACAAGCACACAAATCAGTATTAGCTGAGAAAAGTGATTATTTTAAGGCCAGGCTTTCTCGAGACATCCTGAAAGTAAAAGGAATGAGCTACAAGACATTATCAGTGCTTGTAGATTATGTTTACTCCTCCCAGATGAACGTAAGCAAAGACAATATTGTGGATGTCATCACAGGAGCAAAGATTCTGCAGATGCCCTGTGCGGTCCAGGCTGCTATCGACACCATAGCCACACAGATCACACCTGAGAACTGCTATGAAATCCTAATGATCGCCAAAAAGCAGCGACTAAATGAACTGAAAGAAACAGCCTATCGGTTCATGAGTGACAACTTTCTCCAGGTTCTGAGAGATCCGGCTGTCTACGGGCGCCTCACGGGCTCAGAGAGAGACCTCATACTGCGCAAACGGATGGAGAGCCGCCAGTGTCTGATGGTGGCGGAAATCAACGATGTGTTTGAGCGTGTAGGAAGTAGACCGCCCAGCAGAAACAGCAGCCGTCCCCAGAGTCCTCTCTCCATCACGTCTTTTGAGGACAATCACATGATCTACTACTACAATAAGAGCAGTAAGGACTGGCACACCCTGACCGTCATGCCAGAAGACATCAACACCAGGGGCTGCGGAATCTGTACAATGTACAACTACTTGTTTGTGGCCGGCGGGATCAGGGGAACTGGGGAGAAAAGCAAAGTCTCGGACAAAGTATTCTGCTACAATCCCATTACAGACCGCTGGAGCGAAGTCCGA